ACTTGCACTCCTTGTGGTCTTCTTTGTGCTCCTTGGACTTGTGCTCTTCCTTGTGCTCCGTGGACTTGTGCTCCTCCTTGGACTTGCACTCCTTGGACTTGTGCTCCTTGTGTTCCTCTTTCTGCTCCTTCGCCTTGTGCTCTTCCTTCGATTTGTGCTCCTTGTGCTCCTCTTTGTGCTCCGTGGACTTGTGCTTCTCTTCGGACTTGTGTTCCTCCTTCCGTGATTCCTTCTCCGCGTGTCGCTTGTCCACCTCCTCTCTATTCTCCTTATGCTTTCTCTGAATCTCAGCGTGGTGTCGATCTACTTCCGCCCTCTTCCTTTCGTGGGCAATTCTCTTCTCTTCCTTCGTCATCTTCTTGCTGGTCTCCTTGCTCTCGCTGCTGTCGTGCCCGTCTTTGTACTGTTCTTCTCGTCTCGTTCGCCTTTTAATGAGCCAAGTTTCGTAGTCGCTTTCCTCGGAACCCGAACCCCGATGCTTCCGGCGCCGCCTAGTTGTTGTTGTCCTGCGAATACGCTTCTTACCTCCACGCCCATCGGAAACTTCAGTCCATTCATCGTCGGACTCGCCTACACTCTGATCCTTTTTCTTTTCCTCCTTTTTCTCCTTCTCCTCTTTATGCGAGCTCTCCTTGCTTTCCTTACTCTCTTTACTCTCCTTGCTCTCCTTCCAGTGCTGATCCCGCTTCTCTCGCCTCGTGGTCCGAGTAACTTCGTACTCACCGTCCTCATCAGAACCAGAGCCGCTGTGCTTCCGACGCCTCCTTGTCGTTATCGTCCTACGGATACGTTTCTTCCCGCCGTGCCCGTCGGACACCTCAGTCCATTCATCCTCGGAGCATTCCTCCACTCCTTTCTTCACCTCTTTCTTCACCTCCTTCTTCACCTCTTTCGTCTCCTGCTCTTTCTTCTTTCCCACATGGGTGTTCTCCTCTTTCTTCTCCTCTTTCTTCTTTTCCACATAGGTCTTCTCCTCTTTCTTCTTTTCCACATGGATCTTCTCCTCTTTCTTCTTTTCCACATGAGTCTTCTCCTCTTTCTTCTTTTCCACATGGCTGCTCTCCTTCGTATGCTCGTACGAGCTCTCCTTGCCGCTCGAGCTTTCCTGTCGCTTTCGTCGTGTGGAGAGCGTCGACTCATCCTCACTGTCCTCCTCCGAGTCATGGTGCTTTCTTCGTCGCGTTGTCGTCGTCCATTCGCCCTCCGAATCTGACTTCCCAGCCTTCTGAAACCAAATCACCAATAACGACGTTGCCACCGAAGAACAGAAGATTAGTTTGAGACGGTCCAAAGCGTTTCTTCGTTTGTTTTAAGAGGGCAGTTGTGTCATTCCGATCAGGTATTGAACTCCTCGCCTGTTTAAATGCGAACTCCTAAGCTGTTTATTGACTGCTAACCATTCAGCCACATGCGCTGGGCAAAAGCGTAGCACAACTTCGGTGTGCCATGAGCGTCCCTGTAATAGCAGCCAGCGTGGATTTTTGGTGTGGGCGTCCTGCCTTATGACTGATTCTGGATTGCATGGCTTCAACAACTCAGGTTAGTAATGCAGGGTAATTGCTTCACCTCTAGACGTCGCGTCTGGGGTATTACAGCTTCAACCCCAGCCACAGTTGGGAAATTAGATAGGTAGGGCAATGCACACTAAGAAAAGGAGGAAAAAACAACAACAATTAGGGGATCAAACCCTCCCACATGTCAACAATGAGTAGTGTGATGTGAAATTGAGAGAAGAATATATCTTTTTAAAAAAATAAAAAATAAAAAATTGCAGGCTACATACATGCCTCCAGATGCTATGTAACCACGGAGAGGAATGTCCTCGCACAGATAAAAAGACTGGCGACTGCCGATGACATACAACCAGGGGGTGATTTCCATCACCTGCAGAGACGTAATACGGACTACATACTTCAGACATGTACAGACTGCAGGAGTTCATTAGAACGTGGTTGCCCTAGGCTGCGCTAGGGGCAGGAACGAGGGTAGGTATACAGACTGCCTGCAGGAGATCTAGCAGGAAGAGCCTTCCCCATAAACTGGTCCCAGATATTTTGCTGGACCCAATCTCTTGGTGGGGAGCTGCACCTGCTGGAAACCGGGCCTAGGTATGGCCTCACGAATGTCCTAGTCCCGCAGACCAGAGCTGATATTGCGGAGTCAGATTGTTAACGTGCTCAGTGACCACGCCTATTTGGACCAGCGAGGATTCCTAAGGTGATTCCTAGGGTCTGCTCACTGACCCCGCTGATATGGACCAGCGAGGATGCCTAAGGTCTGCTCACTGACCCCGCTGATATGGACCAGCGAGGATGCCTAAGGTCTGCTCACTGACCCCGCCGATATGGACCAGCGAGGTTGCCGCCGATATGGACCAGCGAGGATACCTAAGGTCTTGGGCCCTGTGTTTCTGCTGACTTCCCAGTTGAGACCCTGCTAACTCCTTCCACTTATTCTCTAGACGTACCCGTCTTCACAACAGTATAGCGCCCGTATATTATGGCTGTGTCTAGACTGGGTATTCCACCAAACACAGCTATAATGACCAGGCATTCTAATCAGGTGAAGACTCTAGGTACACTTTTCGGGGGCACATGATGGTATGTGCTCAAGGGGCTCGCAAGAAATATTCATCACTCGTGGCGGTGGACGAGCTCGTCCATCAAGTGCTCCTTCAACCAGGGCTGGGTCTGCCTTCCCCCTATGGTTCCTGTGACAGCTGTCCGTCAGGGTAGGCCGCCCAGTCCTGAGTGACAGACGGGGAGGGCGGGGTGCGTGAAGGAGGAATGCATGTAGAGAGCACGGGGCCTCATGTACTCCAAAATCAAAAAGGAAGAAAAAAAACTTTCTATACGCGGAAAGACAAGGCAAAAGGTTAGAAAGGAAAGGAAAATTTTCTCAAAACAGGCCTAGAAGTTCGGGCATTTCATCATACACCCCTAAAGCACAGGGGTATGCTGAAATGCGAGGAACTTCTACATCTGCCCCTTCCCCTCTCATTGGCGACTTTGCCC